CCCTCAAAGACACAGACATAAAATTTACACATACATTAAGAAAAGGTTGTCATAGCAACTTTGCTGGAAGATATGTAATTTTAAATCTAAGTAAATTTAGCATTCAAAACACATTTGCATCTCCCTCAAAGGTTCTGTATCAAGAATATTTTAAAGCTTGTTTTCAAATTCCTTTTGAACCTATACTTTGAAAGCTTAGCAAAACCCTATGACTATAATAGCCTTGTAGACTTAAGCATGTATTTTCAAAAGGCCTTATGTGAAAAAGATCCAAAATGGAAGCCTAATACTTCTACTCCCAGAAGCCTCCAGAGTATGCCACCAAATCACTAGAAGATCCAGTTAGGCTCTATCAGCTGATAACCTTGCAACATAAGCCATGCATCATGAAAACTGAACTGAATAGACTTGAGTGCAGCAGTATAATTAAACAGTGCATACAATTGTCTAATATTGCTCTCCAACAGTCAAACCACTTCCTAGCTTTATTCTTTTATTTTAAAAGCTCTCCAGTGTTCTTAAACAGCACCAATGTTGGTTTTCCTTGGTAAGCCAACCTAATTTGATTCTCTTGTTCACACAGTGAAATTAAAACAATGGTTTTACTCCCAATAGTTTTTCTTTTCTTTGAGACAGGGTCTCTCTATGTATGCCAGGCTAGCACTGAACTCACAATCCTCCTGCCTCTGCCTCTCAAGTGCAAGGATTACAGCCCTGTGCCACCACGCCTGGCTTCCCAATAGTTTCCCCACACCACAGCCTATAACTGAACTGTTTTAGTATTTCTGTCATATAATCACCTAGATATCCATTCCTGGAAACTTGAGAGCTCTGGGTGCTAGAAGGTTCAATGTGATGAAGTTTTGGACACAAGAGTGGGATTTTTCTTTCCAAGATTAAGGACAAATGGGGCTGGAGAGATGGCTCAGTTAAGAGTACTAGCTGCTCTTGCAGAGGATCCAAGTTTGGTTTCCAGCACCCATATAGCATCTAACAACCATCTGTAACTCCAGTTCCAGGGGCTCCAACGCCCTCTTTGAACCTCTGCAGGTATTACACAACACAGGTGCACTTACATACATGCAGGCAATACACTCATACACAAACATTTAAAAAAAAAAAAAAAAAAAGGACAAGAGCAAACAGACATAATAATGACATGCCATGTGATTGTTTTGGTGCCAGGGACTGAATCCAGGGCCTTGTGTGGCATGCACTTTACCTTTGAACTACACCCCTATCCCGACAGATCTTTTTTTGTTCATGGCTTTATCATCGTCAGTGCCTAATCTAAGACTTGACAGGAGTGACAAACAGTAGGAGTGGCAAAGGCAGGGCAGGATTGAAGAGTCACTAGAGCTACTGGGCAGAGAGAAATGGGAGTAAGGATAAGAACATGGAAGGCAATTTGCTTCTAAGGCTCTTGGAACATGTATAGTCTAACTAGCTAAGATGGATGTTCCTTAAAACTCCTAAAACCCATTGGACAAAATAGATTTTGTTCAATAAAACAACTAAAATTAAAATTAAAAAAAAAAAAAAACACCAAGGCCGGGCATGGTGGCACAGGCCTTTAATCCCAGCACTTGGGAGGCAGAGGTAGGCGAATCTCTGTGAGTCTGAGGCTAGCCTGGCCTACATAGTGAGTTCCAGGCCAGCTGGGGCTACAGAGAGACCCTGTCTCAAAAATACCAATGGCCATACAAAGACTCTGTCTCAAAAATACCAATAGCTGAACAAATGGCCACACAGTACCCTGTTATTCCTGAAAAGAAGTACTCAGCATATTACAAAGCACTATTAACAACAGGGGTGTCTGACTATCCGGGTTATTTTTCACAAATACTAAGTATCTTCAATAATTTCTTTTACGTTATTCTACACATACCAAAGACGCCAATAAAGATTTCATTCATTTATTCAAATATACTGATTACCTTTTGAGGGTGATAGATAATTAGCACTTTGTTGATAATATAGTTAGAACCACTATAAGTTTGAAATGAAAATAATTGTACTTCAGATGAAATGTTAGTAAATTACCAAATAGACACCCTATTTCTATGCCTTGTTTGCTTATGGCATGTCATTACATCATATAACAAGGTCTATTACCAATCTCTAGGAGAGTCATCAACCTGCAAACCAATTAAATGGAAAGCTGAGTGGAAGAAGGAAGGCCATTTCTGGCCTCTGTGTTTATAGCCTAGACTACAAAGTGGGCTGCAACTCAAATTTAAAATTATATTTTTAGTCATAAAATTCTATAAAACAAAAATTGACATATTTTAGAAGTCTATTTTCTTAAAAATAAAGGTTTCCTGAAGCTCATATAAAAATGAACCACAAAGGAAAATGTTTGAAATACATTAAGGAGGTGTATGTGAAGGTAGAGGTCGGCAGCAAAGCACTTGTCTAGTATGTACAAGGCTTTAAGGTCAATACTCAGCTCTGCAAAAACTAAAGTATTAGTGGAAAAAATGTACCATAATGCTATAAATTTAATATGTAAAAATATATGTATGTGGAGGGAGGAAAAAAATTTTAAATGTAGTTGGAGTGGCAATATATTCTTTGTTCTTTTACAAATTCCTTTTACTGCTACTCTTAGTAATAATCATTCTGTTAATAATTAGACTTGGGGTTTTTGTTTTGGGGTTTCTGTTTTGTTTTGTTTTGTTTTGAGACAGTGTCTGCTTGTAGTCCCAGCTGGTCTGGAACTCACTATGTAGATCAGGCTGGCCTTGAACTCACAGATATCCACCTGCCTCTGCTTTTGGAGTGCTGGGATTAGTATGCACCACCACATCCGACTAGGTCTTAGTTATTATTTGAAACCATTGCTTGATTTCTTCTTAAAAATTAAAATGTCTTATATGCAGAACC